GGATGCATAAATTATGGAAATGAGAAATGACACTTGCCTAGTGGAAACACAACAATACTGATTGGTTAAACTGAATGTATACATTAGGGAAGTGAGAAATGACACTGGTCTAGAGTAAACACAACAATACTGATTGGTTAAACTGAATGCATAAATTATGGAAGTGTGAAATTACACTTGCGTAGTGTAAACACAACAATACTGATTGGTTAAACTGAATGCATAAATTATGGAAATGAGAAATGACACTGGTCTAGAGTAAACATAACAATACTGATTGGTTAAACTGAATGCATAAATTATTGAACACAATGATATGATGTAACCAACCTTATCCAAAGCAGCTTGCACTGTAGCTTCACTCTCTGTATCTAATGCTGATGTAGCTTCATCCAGTAATAATATTTTTGGATCTCTCACTAAAGCCCTAGCAATGGCTACTCTCTGCTTTTGACCACCTGATAACTGAGCACCACGAGATCCAACAAGTGTGTTATAACCCTATAAGGTAATTGCAGTACATAGTCATAAAGCTCCTGAAGGTCAAATAACAGTGCTGAGTTTAGTATCAGGAAAGAAACCATTTTGTACAAGATACAACAGGATTCCTACTAACAAAGTTCCATCATCACAATTAAAACAGAGTTAAAATAGAAAGAAAAGGCATCATCTACCTCATGAGGGGGGGGGGGGCTCTACAAACTAGGAGCTAAATGTACTTACTTCAGGCAAGGCTGATATAAAGTCATGTGCATTTGATTCTTTACATGCTTTCTCAATCGCTGCTTGTGTTACGTCTTCTTTTCCATAACGAATATTCTCAGCAATGGTTGTAGCAAACAGGACAGGTTCTTGACTGACAACTCCAATATGCTTACGCAACCAACTGATATTTATATTTTTGATGTCTTGCCCATCAATTTTAATCTGAAATTATAATTTTTTAAATCAATACAAACTTTTGTTCATATGTACTTTTTTTTACCATATCTAATATATTGCAATGCACAAAATAGAATATATCTTATGGTATTCATAGCACATTCATAGCAAGAAAATGTCAACTCATTAGCAAACATTATTTGTATAAAGTGTTCTATTTATGACCGTTATGACTCATAAAATGACAAAATACAGAATTAAAGATAATTTAGCTCCCAGTCCACTGCATAGTGAACATTTCTCACATTGCTATTTTATACCGTCATGAATTGCGTATTTGTAAAATGAATCTTTGATCAGATGACAAAAATTATTTTATGTGAATGTGTATCAAAATTATTAATATAGTACAATGTATGAAAGTGACATGCATCAACTACCCATAATATCTTTTTACCAAGTTTGAAAAAAAGTGGAACGAACAAATGTCCGAAATCTGGTTCTTGGATGTCATAATACTTGAATTTAGTGTATTTTTACAAACAAACCAAAATGGCTGCCAGTCAGCCATCTTTGACACAGGCCTGAAAATCATCCCACATGCATATACATCAGACAAGGTAGGGATTAAACTTAAAGCCTCTGTTTCAGTTGAATCTGAGACTAATAATTCTATACTTACACTGCCACTAGCAGTATCATAAAATCGTTGTAATAAATGTACAGTAGTACTCTTTCCACATCCACTGGATCCACACAATGCCACAGTCTGACCAACATTAACCGTTAAATTCAGACCCTTCAAGACCTGACAATTACAGAAGAAGAAAAAAGTAATAATAATCAATCAACTGAATATAATTACAAAATGTTTCAATAATCCCCCCAAAACGCAGTCTCTAGTAAATAATTTCGAAATAGTAAGCAGATACTTTTATGAATTTCCTTATTATAACATAAACTCATACTTTGACATCCGGTCTGGATGGGTATTGAAAATGCACATCTTCAAACTGTATATTGCCCTCTATAGGTGGTGTTTCACCATCACTGCTACTGCTATCAATTGATGGAACCTACAGTAAATAGCATATTAAAGTAAAAGTAATGGTAAAATTTCAAGGTGCTGTACAATTATTATAGTTAGAAAGAAAATGTTTGCATTTCTTCACCCGCTTGGTCACCTAAAATCTGTGACGTTGAAGGACATGGTCATTATCTTGCATCAAAAAATAATTCGAAATGTATTTCAACATATTCTATGATTGACTGCATTAATTACTCCTAAATTAATGCATGAAAAGTACATACACCTTCCCACTGATGTAACTCATAGAAAAAAGTGGAATCATTCATGTCTCATTTTAATATTTGGACAGCCACAATAAATAGAATTTCCAATCCCCCAGACATCTCACAGTGTAAATTCAGAATTGGTGTAAACAAAAGACTGCATTCATCACATGAATGCATACATATAAGTAACAGGGCACAGCAACTGTTTTGTTTTAACAGTTCTACAAATAAGACTTGAAAATTTGAACTTTCTTGTAATTACAGTAAATCTCACCAGACCTTAAATGCAAACGGCTGAGATTTTGTTAAGAGCGAGAGGACTATGCAAGTTGTTTTTACTCCTATAATAGTGTTCTATGCTCTGCCAGGATCATGTCAACCATTCCAAACAATTTGGTTATAAAATACATGAGTTAATAGGAGAAAATATTTGAGGGAGAAAAACAAGTCATATAGCGCTTTTACTCACTATGAGAAATCATTTGCTTTTAAGGTCAATTGATTGAAGACAATGAATAAATCTATACCTACAACTGTAAAGCCTATAACACAATTACTCACCGTATCAATGATGTCCCATATGACGGCAGCAGCACCCCTGGCTATGGCAATGTCACCAATGGCAGGCGAGGCATTCCCAAGGGAAAAAGCACCAATGAGAACTGCAAAGAACACCTGTAAGCACAGTCTGAAATGTTATTTGTGTTCTTGAGTTATCAATAGTAACTGATACCTACTGTGAACAAATTAATGTAGTCGTTTTTTTTAAAGTAAAAATATTTTTTTTTATTAGACTGGTGCATTGGTTCAAGTTTGATATTATATTTTTTGTCTATTGAATAAATTAAAACAAGCATTGATAATGCATAGTTCCCGTTAAGTATTAGCTGTAGTCGATGTAAATGTTCAGTACATGTAGAAATGAAAGATCAATGTTTTTTTAACACTAACACAGATTATAGATTGTGTTACTGTCAGTATAGTACCTACGTGGAAACTTTGAACTGAATTTGACTAGATCTTACAGAGGAAATAGCATGAAAGAAAAATGCAGCCAGTCGGGTATTGTTGATCAAGTATCTCCAAAAGAAATATTGCTTGCACCGTAACCTAATATGTAAGGTCATCATACAAATTTTGATTGAAAACGCCCTATTCAACTTTGAACTGAATCAGGCCATATCGCCCTGTTCAGCTCCAAGAAAAAGTTCCAGACATTTTAACAGAATGATATTTTACGTTTTTTTAACAAAATGGCCACCATTTCGATAAATTTGATCAAATTTCAAGACAAAACATGTTGCGTTACCTTGCAGTATACTGCCTATGTACAAACTTTCAAGTGAATCAGGCCATATCTTATGGAGGAATCAGCACGAAAACGGAAAAAAACAAAATGGCCGCCAGTCGACCATCTTGAACCAAATCTTGAAAAAAAATTGACGTGCATCTATAACCCAATATGCATGATCACCATACAAAGTTTGATTGAAATCACCCCGTTCAGCTATGAGAAACAGTTCCAGACACATTACAGACTGTGATTTTAAGATATTTAACAAAATGGCCACCATTTCGACAAATTTGATCAAATCTCGAAAACAAAACATGGTGTTATGTTATCTTGAAGTATAGTACCTTTGTACAAACTTTGAACTAAATCAGGCCATATCTTAGAGAGGAATCAGTGCGAAAACAGAAAAAAACTAAATGACCGCCAGTCGGCCATCTTGGACCGAATCTTGGAAAAAAGTAACATGCACCTATAACCCAATATGCATGATCACCATACAAAGTTTGATTGAAATCACCCTGTTCAGCTCTGAGAAACAGTTCCGAACACGTTTAAATCAGAATTCAGCAAATTTCAGGGACAAAATGGCTGCCAGTCAGCCATATTTCGAATCATAACGAAAATTTGCGTGCACATGTAGGTCATCATACATTGTCTGTATACCAAGTTTGAACGAGATAAGTCAAAGGGTTTTCGAGAAATGGTTCCGGATGGACGCACGGACACACGGAACCCAAATTAATAGTCCCTGTTTTAGGACTTCGTCCGAATGGGAACTACCGATAACAAAAATTCAAAACAGACACATTGAAGTACTAGTGTAGCTGTGAAACATTTGAAGTGACACACAACACAATGTGACTCCCTGTACGTGTGCATGTATGTGTACAGCGCTTTATATCATAGCATTCAGACCAACACATACTACATGTAGCTCCTGAATAAGATAAGTAAATTCGATGAATACATCAAGTTGACTATTCTAGTCTACTTTGCATCATTTGTGATGTGGCAGTGCTTGTACATCACACAGTTTATAGTATTTAAACTGTTACTTACTGTTAGCATATTACCAACTGTATATTCACCTGCCAGTATTAATGTTGATCCATACCTGTATATACAATGTAAAAACACCAAAGTCAGCATTATCATCCTCTACATTTAGTATAATTACGAATAATACAAACAAAATTATAATATATAATATCCATGATTTTACATTCACAGATAAACGATGGATGCAGCCTACTCCAAAAAATGTGATTATTTAAAAAATATCATACTGGGTTAAATGTTTGAATAAATAGCAAATAAAAATTGGTGGCTATTTTGGATTAGAAAATGCAAAAAACATTTGATGTTCATAATTCAAAAACTACCTCAAATTTTGACAAAGTTCCAGTGCCCCCCAAATTGTGTTAGCTGTGACCATCTTTGATTCTTAACATTACCTACTGGTGCCATTTTGGCTATCCTTGGAGACTTTCAGCAGATAATGTGTAGAAATGGCATACAACAATTGATTCCTGTGTATTCACAGTGTTTGTACTAAAGCATCTATACTCACCAGAAACCAAGCGCATATGTACTGAATACCAACAGAAATGTAATACCCATTCCAGCACCTTGTACTATTCCTTTTTTGATGCCCATCTTTTTAGCAGCAATCAAGTTAGTATCATATCTGTTTGGAGACAATAGCATTTGTCATGGTTACTAAAACTTACTGAAAATAGAACTGGAGTAACAATACAAGAAAGCCCGTCCCGCTGAATGTTGATACATTGCTGGAATATTTTGTAATTTGGTTGTTGATTTTACTACAGTTGTTCAAAATCAGCATTGTTGTTATCAAGAAGAAGTCAAAAATATCACTTTTTACCAAAAATGACAAAAATATTCATCTAAATTAAGAAGATATCATGAAATGAATAAATCTGAGAGAGGTCTACCTGAGCTACCAATATGTATAGTATCAAAGCAATTGAATTTGCGTTTTTTTAACAATAAGTCGAAACAAGTTCAAAAGTCAATGCGGAGGAGGGAGACTGACAACAGCGAAATAAAAATTTAAAAGTATAATGAGAACAAAAATAAAACAAGAACAAAACCTTATTGTAAACACAGTTAAACAAATCTATCCCTAAACAAAATTCAAAAGCCACATTCAGCCGATAAATGGATTGAATACTATAAACAATTGAATACTAAAGAAGATTTAACAGACTTTCAAAAAAACATTGTAACTAAAACAAAAATACTCGAAAATAATTAAACATTCCTCAATACCAAAATAAAAATAAGAAATTAAATTAAAGCTGCAAGCAGCATCACAGGGGGCCAAGTATACATGCCATAAATAATGAGGTCAAGTGATACACAATTGGTTAGTTTGAATGATTAGTACCATGAAGTCGAAATGCAGTTGGTTCCATATATTTATTTGAGATATAAAGGTTATTAATATATGTTCATCTGTTATTTTAATCAAATCTCTTGTTCAACGTTGTCATAATAACACAGGATTCATCATTCTAACTACAACAGTGCTTGAGTTATAACAGTTATGATTATTAATGAGGTTAGAAGCCCCCACCCCATGCAGTTGGTTCCATATATTTATTTGAGATGTTATGAATATTAATGAGTTCACATGACCATATATGGTCATCTGTTATTTTAATCAAATCTCGT